TCTGGCGGGGACGAGAGAGCGGGCCTTCTCGGTGGTGGCCCCCCGGCTGTGGAACAATCTCCCTGCAGACATCAGACAGGCGCCCTCCCTCATGTCCTTCCGAAAAGCCTAAAGACCTGGCTATTCGAGAAGGCATTTAATTGAGTGCTACATTAATTGGCAAGCGACAACTGGAACGGAATATGGACTATGAGATTGGTTATGATTCTATGCTGTGACGATGCGGACTAGTTAGTGTAATTTAGATTAGATTAGTATATATTATTGATATGTGATTTCGTGTTATGCTTTTTTGTAAACTGTTTTTATATGTTGTACACCGCCGCGAGTCGCCCTAGGGCTGAGAGCGGCGGTCAACAAATGCAGTAAATAAATAAATAAATAAATAAATCTACACTAAGGAAAAATTCCAGAGCCAAGACTCAGTAATCTTCTTTTCAGGCCATCACTATTCAAAGCAATGGTAGGTACATGCTGCTAATATCAAGTTACAGCTCTCAGTTGAACTGAAAGTTGGCCATGGGACAATATCAGGAATCCAGAGGGCTGAAGGTATCAGGTTTGATCTGAGGTAGAGGTGGTCACTTATTCAAAACCCTTCTCTAAGAATGAGAGGTTGGGACCAGGCCGAGAGCTAGCTGATGGATCTCCATCCATGTTTGATTTTATGAACATGATCCAAAGTAACTGCATATTTTGTTCTGCACCCCACCCCCACCCCCACCCCACCAAATAGCAGTAGTACAATCTATCAGAGCTGGAGGATATTTTATGGGTCTATAAATCCAAGAATCTAACCCAACATTTTGCATTATGTTTAGACAAGTCGGTCCCAACCACAAGTCCTACGAGCCCTATCAGTATCAAACTGCTTCCTCTGTTGCCATGCGTTTCCTGGAAGAAAGATACTGGAATCTTTGGTAACAAACAAATAACAAGTGCATGTTCAGTGTGTTTCTGTGTAGATAGATAGACAGACAGATAAGACAGATAATTTTAAAATGTCATAAAAACTTGAATCATAACCACACTGCGAAGATCTAATAGACAACCCCTATTCCTGGGTTTAGTGACTCAAGTCCGAGGGAATCATTTCAAGTCATGTGGCTTTCATAGCCAAGCTGAACTTTAGAAAATAAGAAGTGCAGTGTTAAATAAAATTTAATCGCTGCTGATTGGAGCAGCTGGTGGGTCAATTTATTCTTGTATGGGTCTTTGTGTTACAAAAAAATCACTCAATTATATATTTGTAGTCAAGAAAGTAGAGAGTTAAGTCAGAGGGTTATGTGGGCCACATGATAAACAAAAAGAGCTATTATAACATCCCTAGTGAGGGCATTATAGTTAAAATAATACTCTCCACTTGATCAAGCTGGTGTGCAATTAACCACAATTAGAGCACAACGGCTCTCAATTAGCTTGTCTGAGAATAGACTGCTGCTGTGAAGGGGCCTCTCTCATACACTGTGGCTAATGCCATTTTCTTCTACCACAAAACAGCAAAGACCAGAAAAAAATAAACACCCTCCCCTTTGGGTGAATGGCAGAAGGCGTCCTCAGACACTTGTTGTCTGCCAAGGGATTCATTTCCTAGTGACTGTTTCCTTTATTGTCAGGAGGTTAACAGAAACAAAATCACTGTTCGTTCTGCAAATGCCCTGCTAGATATCAAACACCAAGGGCTATGACTGAATAGCAAAGGCATTTTGGTAGTATTGAAAGTCAACCACAAGCTCTTCATCTGCTGAGGCACAGAATTTTAAGTAATTAGTCACTGGAATGGATTCCATATTTATTTTTTCCTGAGTCATAGCCGTTAGGCCACAAAGTCAGGAAACAAAGCATGAAAGTGTGTGTGTTGAAGAGCTTTCTGGTTTTGTTCATATGCTTCTATTTTTTTTCTGGCAACCGTTGCACTTTGCTGGCTTGGGTCTCCTACAGGCCCTTCGTTTCCATGGATTTTCCATACACAGAATCTGCAATCCATGGCTTGAAAACATTAACAAAAATTCAAAAAGCAAACCCCAATTTTGCAGTTTTATACCATTATACTTTGCATATAAATGTTACTTGAGTATTCATTAATTTTGCTATCCTTGGAGAGTCCTAGAACCAAACCCCAGTAGATACCACAGGTCCACTGTAAAAATCACAGAATCAAACAATTGGAAGAGACTACAAAGGCCATCCAATCCAACCCCATATAGTTAAGAAGAGTTTCAGGAGACACGGAATGGAACAGAAGAATATTCCTGGGGTGGAGAAGTGGTCTGACTTCTCACTATTGGAGGTAGTAACGCCTGGGGACTCTGTGTAGGCCATAGTATGAATGCCATTATGAGACCTGGCACCCTGGGCTGGAACACACATCCTTTTCAAAAGTATTTATTTTGCTTGTAACATTGAATTTCTTTTTATTTATCTCAATGTGTATATTCCAATTTTCTACAACTGAATCCAACTGAAGAGAGCTTACACTAAAACATAAAAGTCACATCCAGAGGAAAAGCTCTGAAAACAAATGTGGCAACAAATGGTAGTGAAACCATACTACAAAAAACATAAAAAATCATCTCAGGAAAAGGAGGCATTGACTCAACTGAAAAAAAATCTTTAATATGTCTCTTTCAAAGTCAGGAAAAAAGGGAGATTGAAGGAAGTAGTCTTAGGAGGCAATCTAGTGAAGGAGAATTCAATAAATCAATACTGGGAAAGGCCACTGGGGCATTTCTGTAAAGAACTGCTTCTTACACTGTGGGTCCTGAACCCAATGGCTCATGCTGGAATGCCGAAAAAAACTGGCAACAGTAAAAGTTTTCTGAACATCACTTAGTGGCTGTTGGAGACATTTACATGAATCTGTAACATGCAGTGTTTACAGTGTTTTCTGCAATGGAACTTCAACTGAACTTCATAAAAAGGAAAAAGGAAATGACAGATTTGTTATCAGTAAATGTTTGATCTTTGATGTAATTTTTAAAACAATGCTTAACTTGTATTAATTTTAAATCAACTGATTTTAAGTTTTTAATGTTTGCATGTTTTGTAAGGCATTGAACAAATGCCACATGTAAGAAGTCTTGAGTCCCCTTCGGGGGAGAGAAAGGCGGAGTATAAATAGAGTAAATAAATAAATCTTTATACCTATTTAATATACCTATATAGCTGGGGTAATGTTAAAAACTTCTCAGGCCAAAAGGAATCCCCAGTGGAAAAGTTAAAGAAGCCCTTTAACTGCTTTGGCACAATGGAGTAGGGAGTCAACAACAGAAACAACCACATCAAATATGACCCCATTCAGCTGTTAACATTATGTAAGCTACTTTGAAATATCATCTTTTTATAATAAAGAGTTCACCACTTGCATCTTATTGTAAAATGAAGGAGAGTGATACACATGCTGTGAGTCACACTGGAGAATTCATAACACTGACAACATCATCCAGGTAACCCCAGAGCAGACAGAAGGCAATTAGAGAGGAGACATTTTGTGATCATTGAAGCGTTCTGGCTGGCATAGCAGGAGAAAAAAAAGTTTTCCCCTTTTTCTTTATAAGGCCATTATCTTCTAAACCTACTTAAATACACCCTTGTGTGTTAGCTGGTATTTTAAGGAAGGTGGGAGGAAGGAATGGACAAGTCTTTAGAAAAGAGGAGCAAGAGAAAAGAGTCAGTGGAACATACACATTATTTCCCACAGGAACATATTCTGTGAATTAATCTTATTTTAAATTGTAACTTTTAAAAGGGATCTACAAGTTTATGCTTGATTACTCAGAAGTAAGTCTCATTGGCTTAGTAGAATTTATTTCTTAGTATACGCTTCCCAGAGTTAACAAAGTCTGAGACAAAGAAGCTCTTTTTTGCAAGCTCTTTTTTCTGCCCATTCAGTTTTCCTCTTCCACCTCTTCCACCTAGTTAGAGCAGGGGTCCACAAACTTTTTAAGCAGAGGGCCAGGTCACAGTCCCTCAAACTGTTGGAGGGCCAGATTATAATTTGAAAAAAAAAACATGAATTCCTATGCACACTGCACATATCTTATTTGTAGTGCAAAAAACACTTTAAAACAATACAATAATTAAAATGAAGAAACAATTTTAACAAATATAAACTTATTAGTATTTCAATTCCTCCTCTTCCTCCCCTTTCTTCTTCCCTCCTTTTCCTCCTCCTCCTTTTTGTCTTCTCCTCCCTTTCTTCTCAAGGCGTGGGCAGTGCTGAAGTTAAGTTGGAGGGCTCAGGTGACACTTGGATCAAGATGTCCTCAATCTGAACCCGGTGCTCCAACCACTACTCCACTTTGCCCGGCCAACTCTCTGTCCTCCTTTTCCCGTCGCCGGCGTCCCCCAGTTCATCACCCCGGCCCGATCGCGCCGGCGGGACCCGGCGCGCCCCCGGCGAGCCTGTCCTGCCGCCTCAGAGACACTTAAAATAATGGATGTCCCCTGTCCCTCTTCTTCTTGCGGACTTGTAAAATACGCTTTAAAGGATGGGGGAGCATTTCCCGGGACTGACAGGCCTCTGTGTGGACTTGCTGTTAGGTTATGTGGGTTTTGATCACCACTTTGTGGTTTCTTAAATTTTATACAATATGACCTCCATATCCTTAGGGAAATCAACAACCTCCAGAAGGCATAGAAAACGTCTACAGCAAACACCTCTCAAACATGTCTGGGTCCTCTATTGCAACTCCATGGACAATTTCCTGTGGAAACATAGCATTGTTTCTGCTGGAGTACCTAGTGAGAACATATTTTTTCAGATGTGGGTATGTTACACTACAGGTACACGTCCCATGATTACAGGATTGTACTGTACCTATAAAACACGAGTTATAAAAGCAGAAAAAAGGAATTAACTACTCCAAACAAGAACCTGTTATTATAGGTTGTCATACTGGGGACAATATTAATTAGTGGACTTTACCAGAAAAATATTGCAGAAATGCAGCAGGTCTGTTTTGCTAAAACTAGCAAAGCTTCATGAATGGTTTTAAATGTTCTTTTTTTTTGTAAGATAAGGTCTGTTCTTATGAAATATGAAACTGAGTGGTGTGTCTACTTGATCAAAGGGATCATAAAAACCCTCACCTTAACATCCCAAACTACAACATGTGAAGACAGCCAGACACGGTGGATGGAGTTGTTTGTTCTTTCCTGAGAAAATCTTATCAGGAATGCTAGATGCTTGCTGTCATCAAGCTTTCTAAGGCTTTCTTCACACCCAGGCAGCCCTTTGTTTCCTGTGTGGTAACATACTATCCTAAGAATATTTCTCTCTCACCAAGTTCAATGGAATCAGCTCTCAATAATAGTGGGGATAGAGCCCACATGTTTAGTGTGCCAAAATTTACTAATTCATGGCTATGCTATCAGTTGTCCCAATCCTCAGACTTTCTTATTTTCTTTTCCGTTTTGGCTGTATTGCTCAAAAAAGAGGGTTTTTCTTCACAAAAGAGGAAGAAGGATATTGTTATAAAATTGTTTTGTGCTTTCAAGTCATTTCCATCTTATGGCAGCCCAAAGGTTATAGGATTTCCTTGGTAAGATTTGTGCAGAGGGACTCTGCTTTTGCTTTCTCATGAGGCTGAGACTGTGAGTTTCCTAAAGTCACCTGGTGGGTTATGAAGACCAAGCAGGGATTAGTCCTGATCCCAGAATTGAATGCTTAAACCACTGCATCATGGTGGCTTTCGCAAATTATTGCCATTGTGTATTTTTAGGTGAGTTGGTCTTGAGTATGCAATTAAGACCCATAAGTTTTACCAAAGACTTGCTCTTGATGCATGAAAACTACAATTGGTTTGATTTGGGATCTGAAGAGATATTTTCATGTGTGCATACTTTCATGTTTATTTGGTACACATTTTACTGTGCCAATAAAGGCACAAGTTCGATAAGAGGACTTTTAGGCACTTTGTTTCACCAAAGCAGTTTGTTGTTACCTAATCCAGAGCCTTTCTATGAAACCCCTCAGACTAACAATTAAGAGGCAATCCATGTGGACTAAAGAGCATGAAAGAATGGTCACTCAACAAAAAGGAAAGTAAGCTTAAAACAGCAAACTCATAAAAGTTTGTATGGCTCAGCACTTTCACCTACACAATTAAACTTCAGCATTTTTTTGGCTGAGTTCAGACTGAGTCAGAGCTTAGCTCTGGAAAATGGGAGTCAACACTAAGGTCTAGAACAAGCAAAAACAGAAGTGTCTCTAAGCACATCTCTAAGTAAGTACAAATCTCTCGTTATTACTGAGGTAATCAGAATAACTTTAAAGGGAGGGCAAATGGTTTTCATTTCATTTTTTATTCTTAGTTAGGAGAAAGCAAGATAGCTGAAATTTCTAGAGTTTGGCCACGTTTCTTCTTTCTTCTTTTACTACAGCCATCAGAATTCTCAATGATCATTACTGCTGGTCGAGCTGGACGGCTCTGGGCTTGGAGCTGCCGAAAAATGCAACTTTCCCAAACTCTGAACATTTCAATGAGCAGCACTCCTGCTAAGTAATTCTGGACTGTGGTGAATAAGAATGTTGATAAAGCAGCCATGTAGACGAGACTATGGAATTTTTCAGAAATTATTCTGATGAGGACCCCTGCCACCAAAGTCTTGGGAATTGGTGGCACTCATAGCTTTAGTTCTGATATCCATAATACATTCTTCATTTCCCAGGAGAAACTTCATTCCAAAAACTCAACAGGTGAATCTGTAAGAATCATTTGCATTCTCACCTCATGCCCAAGTCAAAAGTACACAAATGCACAAATCCTCTTTGCATATGGTTTCTCTGTAGCACTAGAGAAACTAGGATGATAAATATGTACACACAACGTTTAATGATTGACTGATTGATTGACTTCCTACTTTTCCTCCAAGGAATTCAAGGCAATGTCATAGCATGCTGTAAATATGTAACAGCAGCACATTTCAGAAGGAAAATAAAGAGTATACATACTGAAGACACAAATAGAGCCTTTGGGGTCCTAGCAAAAGACTGGAAATAACAAATCTATTTAGAGTTGCACAATTTTTTATTCTTAGTTGACATAGAATCATAGAATCATAGAGTTGGAAGAGACCTCGTGGGCCATCCAGTCAACCCCCTGCCAAGAAGCAGGAAAATTGCATTCAAAGCACCTCCAACAGATAGCCATCCAGCCAAGTGTAAGATTCCATCTTTTTGGATTATAGCTTCTAGAATTCTCCAGCCAGCATGCCTATAGCTATTCATTGCTTACTCTATCAGGTTAAAGAAGATACAGTTTGGTGAATTGTCAGTACATTTTCAAATGCTGTACGGTACAGCTGGATGCATTCCATATGTCCTGGCATATGTATGCTACATTAAAGCTCTCTTGTTGGGCGCTGGAGATAGCTTCTATGAGGAAAAACTCCCAAAACACTCAGAATTCTTTCCTACCCATTTGCATCTCAGTTACTTCTATCCAGATTTGTATTTTTGAAGACTGAAAAAGATTTCAAGCCAGTCCCTTCAATACAGACATCCAGCATAAGAACTCATATTGTTTTTTTGTTTGTTTGTTTGTTTGTTTTATGGAGGACTGATGTCCCCAAAACTAAACCAGCTATTCTGGTTTAGGCACATAAAAGGACTATGTGTTACTTTCAATAAAATGAGGAAAATGTCACAACTGCTTCAGAAAAACACATGCTACATTTCATGACATCAGGCAGTTAAAATGTATAGTTAGTACATACAGTGCTCTCAAAAACATTCCCAGAACTACTTTGGATTTGCATCAGACTGAAGGCATAGTACAAAATGTACCAGTTCTTGCAAGTATGTCTGAGATAAAATTGCTATCAGAACCTTAACTATTGCCTTTCCTGATGTTTAGGGTGGCTGCTGAGCTAATAATCCTCACATTCCAGCAAAGAGGTGTTCACTCAGCACTTGATTATAAACAGGAAAAGAATCAGTGGTATGTGTGGAACAGAACCCCAAGCCTACAGTTTATGAAAAATGCGTGTCACTGACCTTACAAATCGGGACAAAATTAATTTGGCATGGCATGCCACGCTTCTGCCTTTTAACTATGCCCTGTGGAATTTGAGCACCTGATACTACTTAAGCTCTACAAAGCAAAGGCTCTTGCCAGCACAAACAATTCAGGCATGTGTGGGCAGAACCCATCCTTCAATTTTGGGGAGTCTGAGGAATGAAAGACTGGGTGTCTCCTTTCCTCTTCTGCAAAACATACAGAGGTGTTTGAGGTGAGGGTGCTAAGGGATTAAGTCGTCATCTTGCACAAGCAGCAACAGAATTACCACTAACACGACCAACTGCAAAGTAAAAGTGGCAGAAGGGTGAAGGAGGACTCCAGTGATATCATCAGCACATAGTGCTCTGCTCTATCCACAGAACAGCCTATAAACCTTGGGTGAACTGACACTGCTCAATAAGCTGGAAAATGACAACATACTGGCACGCAATTAGTCTTGCCCACAGATCTGGCTATTTACTCTGCTTTTTTGGTACTCAAATAACCTTCTTCCAATGCAAGATTAAGCACAAGCACATACCGTGGTGTCCACAGGGGTGACCTTCTGAGCAGGAACATGTTTTGGAGTGGGTGCTTTTGTGGAGACCATGACACAACCCTCTGGGCCCAAGGTTACAATAACGGTCTTGCAGCCTCGCTCTAACAAGATACATCCCACACGTCCAGCATCTTCAGCATTACCAACTGCAATGCCCGTTAGAATTTCCGCCTTGGAGAAAACATTAAACCATTTCAAAAACACACAAGGAAACAGAAATCTAATCTGACAGCGCCTATTACAAACACGGACTAATTTGTTCATGAATATGATTGCAACAAAGCTTGAATATTAGTCACTTCTATCAATTGTAGCAGGAGATGGCAAGTCGTTATCACAATGAAAAAGGGAACAATCACTTCTGGGATACAAATTAGACCACTCACCTTTTGTTTTATCGTTATTTTCGCAACTGAAAATCAGTCCTTTTCAGCACAAGACTGAAAAATAATACTATCAGCCATTCTAAAGAGTGGTACAAAAGTGAACTTTCATAATGATATGATGAGGCCTTAAATTATGCTAAGTTTAAGTGGGACTCCGAGAATTACACAAAACTTAAATGAAGTGTTCTATTGTTGTATTTACCAGTATTTCAGAAGTCAAGGCTCCAGAAATGTGTGTAAATCTGGTCCTCTGCCTCTTTTGACCAGAGCTTGGAAAAGTGATATTTAAAAACCAAAATTCTAGGAACCTGCACTCTTCCAGTTAGCATGAATGAGGGATGCCCTGTATCTGAGGATTTCTGGATGGCTTACAATAAAATAGGTTTAAAACAGTAATGAATATTAGTAGTTTTAAAACGTTTTAAAATATATTCAACATTTTGTCTATTAAAATCCAGTAATAGAGAAAATTTTAAATAGTACCACCATAAGAAATGTGCATCTTGTATAAAATCAATTATATCTGATGGTGTTAATAAAAAGCCAAGTTTCGGCAGAGTGCCAAAATGATCCCTATATTGGAATCATTTAGAAGTGGCAGCTCAACATAAGTTACGTTTCCAGGTTCTGGTTTTATTTATGTAAGACAGTGATGGTAGTTATTCAAGAGAAAGAGACAGCAGAAGATAGAAACTTCCCATATGAAGTTTCCTGAGAAATACCAATGTGGTGTTGGTAGTCTAACTACTTACTTATCACCGAGAGACCCTGACATTTCTCAACACCCAGAAAATAAGGGAGGCTGCAGAAATACTGTAACAAGCTCCTCAAATTGAGGGTGGTTCAAAAATGCCAACCACATCTATAGTATTCCTTGTTGATTTTACAATTAGGATGATATCACAAGCACAGAACATTGAGTATTCCTTTAAGCACAGGGTGTACCCACAGCCCTCAATTGTTCCTCATCTGGCCATCCTTCCGCATTGTACATAGTGGTGCCAGTTATGTATTTATCAAAACCCAGATGACTTTAGGAGTTTTTGCTGCATCTGCAAAGAGTTGTCTCCAGCTGCATTAAACAATTGAGGAAAAGGGGGAAATCAGGACACGCTGGAAAAGGCTGGGAGCTGCTTCCTCACCAAGGTAGCAACAAACACTAGACAGGGCTTACGTGCCAAAGTTAAAATGTGTCGTGAAGTGTCAATTGCGAAATTAAACATAAAACTGCTGGATTGTGTTGGAAAGTTCCTCCCTACAATAAAACATTTTCTAAAAAAAGTCCTACAATTGAAGGAAATAACTAATGACTGCTTTTTAAAAGAGAAGAAAAAACACTAGAGGAGAAGGCCAAGGAGCTTATTTATAAACATTTTCCACCAGACACCAAATAGGAATGTGCACAGGAAGAAGGAGAAAATGCCACTAGAATGCGGCCATATAACCTGGAAACCACACAACACTCCAGATGAGGAAATATTTGTGATAAAATATATGAACATCATTAGTGTTGTTAATGTATAGAAGCTTCCAAGCAACATCATGGATCATTTGATACAATGATTGTTCGATTGCCCCTACTCTGTGGTATAGATCAGGGGTTTTCAAACTAAGGCCAGCGGGCCGGATGCGGCCCTCCAAGGTCATTTACTCGGCCCCTGGTCTAAACTTTAGACTTAGGGTCACTCTAAGTCTGAAACAACTTCAAGTCACACAACAACAACAACAACAACAACAACAACAACAACCTGAATTAACTTGACTATCTGATCAGCCCAAAGCAGGCCCACCATTCCCATTGAAATACTGGTAAGTTTATATTGGTTAAAATTGTTCATCATTTTAAATACTCTATTGTTCTTTTATGCTTTTTGCAGTTCAGGTAATATATCTGTAGTGTGCATAGGAATTTGTCCATATTTTTCTCAAAATATAGTCCGGCCCCCCAACAGTCTGAGGGACAGTGAACCATCCCTCTGCTTTAAAAGGTTGAAGACCCCTGGCATAGACACACAAAATCACAGATCTTTAGAAATATAATTAAGCTATCTCAATTGCTTCTGTGGAAAAAGGTGATAGACAGACAAACAGATAGACAAAAGACAGATAAGTAGACAGGCAATAATCCCACAGATCCACCCTACTTTGTTCAGCTACACATTTTGGAAGTTCTTCCTTTTGCTTCTCCATCCCAATTCAGATACTAGCTGGAACAGAGTAGTTGATAGTTCCTTTCAAAAACTAGACAGATGAGTAGTTACTTACCAAACTGGTAACAGATGCATCCCCTCTCCCACCATATCTGTGAACAATGTAGGCATCATCCACAAGAGCCCCTATGTGGCTCCACATACTGTGAAAAATATCCATTCATTTCAGCTTGAAAAATATCACTCTCAAGTACTTTATATACTCATGTATAAATAAAGCCTTTATTTAGAATCTCTACCACTGTCTCTCTGCAGAGAATTTTATGTTGAAAGCCCTTATTAAAAATTATCAACACTGCTCTGCTCCATTCTAAACACCTAAAATGTCTCCCCCATATTACTAATGAATTACCCAGGTCAAAATAATAAGGAGGAGGGGGAAGAGAGAAAGGAGGGAGTGCCGACACCAGTTTGGACAAGGGAAGAGCAATGGAGTGGGAGTGCTACATGTCACTGCTTTAATGCCTGGTCCCCAAAAAGAGGCAGTTTGCTTTCTTTGCTCTTCTTCCCCACCCCTTGTTTGCATGCTGCAAGTCGTCTCTGGTTGCTTCTGGATCGAGAGAATCGGCTGTCTACGAAGACGTTGCCCAGGGGACGCAATCCTGCGAGGAGGCTTCTCTCATGTCCCATCACCCGCCTCATAGGAAACCTGCTACAAAACAGGAGCTTTTTTGTTGAGTTCCAGGGCCAGAGAAGCAGATGGCGAGAACAGAAGAACGGCCTGCCTCAGGGGAGCGTGCTTGCTCCATCCATGTTCAACATCTACACAAATGACCAGCCACTGCCAGAAGGGACAGAGAGTTTCATCTATGCTGATGATCGTGCCATCACTGCTCAAGCAGGGAGCTTTCAGATGGTTGAACAGAAGCTCTCCGAAGCTCTAGGTGCTCTTACTGCCTATTACAGGGAAAACCAGCTGATCCCTAATCCATCTAAAACACAGACATGCGCCTTTCACCTTAAGAACAGACAAGCATCCTGAACTCTGAGGATGACCTGGGAAGGAATCCCACTGGAGCATTGCAGCACTCCCAAATACCTGGGAGTAATTCTGGACCGTGCTCTGACCTACAAGAAGCACTGCCTGAATATCAAGCAAAAGTGAGTGCTAGAAACAACATCATACGAAAGCTGACTGGCACAACCTGGGGATCACAACCAGACACAGTGAAGACATCTGCCCTTGCGCTATGCTACTCTGCTGCTGAGTATGCATGCCCAGTGTGGAACACATCTCACCACACTAAAACATTAGATGTGGCTTTAATGAGACATGCCACATTATCACAGGGTGTCTGCGCCCTACACCACTGGAGAAATTACACTGCTTAGCCGGTATTGCACCACCTGACATCAGCCGGGACGTAGCAGCCAATAGTGAAAGGACCAAGGCAGAGACATCTCCAGCTCATCCCTGTTTGGGTATCAGCCAGCACGTCAACGACTTAAATCTAGAAATAGTTTTCTAAGATCTACAGAGACATTCGCTGGAACACCTCAGCAAGCGAGAGTCCAAAAGTGGCAGGCTCAAACCCAGCACCTCAACCCGTGGGTGATACCAGATGAGAGACTCCCCCCTGGGCACACAAAAGACTGGGCAACTTGGAAGGCGCTGAACAGACTGCGCTCTGGCACCACGAGATGCAGTGTGGAATCCTCGGCATGTGAGTGCGGAGAAAAACAAACCACTGACCACCTGCTGCAATGCACCCTGAGCCCTGCCACATGCAAAATGGAGGACCTTCTTGCAGCAACCCCAGAGGCACTCCAAGTGGCCAGATACTGGTCAAAGGACATTTAACCAAATACCAAATTTGCAAAATCTGTGTGTTTTTTCCCCTTTTTCTTTTTAATTCTGTGTGTTTGTTTTGCTCTGTTAGAATTGTAATACAATGGTTGCTGATGACACGATAAATAAATAAATAAATAAATAAATAAATAAATAAATTCCCCACCCCACCCTTTAGGCTCTATTTTCATTCTTTTTTCATGTATATTCCTTTCCCTATCTGTATTTGTATTGATATAGACCTTTTTATATCATCAAATAAACATACCCTCTATTTTTCTATAGCTTTTCCCAAGTATGTTTCCTCTATGCAGTTTTCAAATGAGATGATAAAATTCATTACATATCTCTAATTTTCATGGTCAAAGCAAAATCCATCATTTTGGTCCCTAAATCTGTCCTTGACTTAAAAGTGACTATAGGTGAAGTTATTCTCTACCCCAGGTGGGAATCTTAAGGGCTGGTTCAAACATAATGATTATATCAAAAATGACCCTTGTTCCCATGTACTCCTGCGTGATTCCTCTTCCAAAAAAGATTTGGACACAACCAAGGACTGTTAAACCACTCTTTGCCACAATGTCTGAACCAGAAAGCTCTTGACTGAGCTGGGCTGAAATCCTGATCCAAATCAAGATCACTGGCTAGCCTACAGGTCATAGGTTTTCTTCCATGACTTAAATCCATACAGTGAGAGAAAATTTATGGAATAGCAGGTTTTGCTTCCTTCTCATCTTCTGTTTTGTATAGCGCCCTCTCTATTGTATATTGCATATTGATCAATGG